AGGCCTGTAATCCCACCACTCAGGAGGCTGAGGCAGAAGGATCACTGTGAGTTCAAGACAAGCCTGGGCTACATAGTGAGTTCCAGATCAGTCTCACCTGCATAGTTAGACCCTGTCTCAAAAAACAACCGCGTCCTTCCCACGCGGCGCTCGGTGACATTGAGCGCTCTAGCGCCGCCGCCTCCTAGCTGGGAGCTGTGCAGTCTGCGGAGCGGCGGCCATGTGGAGCCTGCGCAGCTTTCGCCTGGCGGCGGGTGAGATGCAGGGTGTCCTGAGGGAGGAGAAAGTGGCCGGGCCGCTGCGTTGCGGACGGGAGGGTGTCCTGCGGCCTCGGGGGCCCCGGAGTTGCTGGGTTCCGCCACCCACTCTTGGCGAGCGGCTCGGAGTGCCTTTGTGGCGCTAATGGGAGAGGACTGGGGCTGAGGGAGCAGATGCCAGGATCCGGCCCGTTACCATCTACCCAGTTTAAGGGGCTCTAGCTGTGTCCTTCCTCACCTCCCCATCCCCTGCCTTCTCTGAACTCAGACCTTTATGCATCTACTGTCCCTAGAATTTAACTCCGCTTTCCACCCTAACTTTCCCTGTCCGTTACCCTATTTGAGTCTTCCCTCCCCTTGCCTGTCCTAAACCCCTCACCTGAAGAGTTCATCTCAGCTATCGGAAAACCTAGGTCTTGAGGTTTTCCGCTGTGTACTTGTCTGAAGAGGCAAGAGTTAAGGTTTCACAGAGTAATAGTAATTGTTTTCCTAAAAGGGGGATACATTAGTCTTAAACAATTGTAAAATTAAGTGCTTCGAATTGCTTGGAGGAAAGAGTCACATAAATGCGGAATCACCCATTTGTTTTTACAGTAAGACATTTGCGTTAGATAATTTGGGATCGGTTGATTCGCCACCTTGAGGAAACCACTAAAACCTTCTCATTGTAGGGTCTGAGAAGTCATGGTGCTTGCACCTTGACTCTTATGGGTGCCAAGGCAATTTATTGTTTTGGTTACCTTTATGAGCTTTGAAGAGATGTAGCGATCTTTTGTTTCATAGTACCAAATTTATTTTTTAAAGTTTTTAAAAATTTCTTTCTTTCTTTCTTTCTTTCTTTCTTTCTTTCTTTCTTTCTTTCTTTCTTTCTTTCTTTCTTTCTTTCTTTCTCTTTCTTTCTCTTTCTTTTCTTTCTTTCGTGTGTATGGCACTGAGAATTGAACCCAGGGCCTTATGCATGCTAGGCACACACTCTAGCACTGAACTATATCCCCAGCCTGTTTAAGCGTTAAAGGAATGTCCCTGAAAGTGGCTAGTTACATAATGCAGGTATACATTGTAGATGTAAATGAACCAATGCAAAAAATGTGAACACCAAGTAGTTTCACATAGCCAAAAAAGCGGGGAGAGTCTGTTTCACGTGAATTTATCTTGTGTTGCAGTGGAGATAGGACTGGCAAACATATCTCAAACTGGAAGGTATTCTTTTAATCACAAACATGCTCTCAGCCCCCAAAAAAGAAAACCCTCAAAACTAGTTAATTTGATTTTTGCCAAAACTAATTCATCCCTAAATCATTTGTGTGCATACTATTAAGTATTACAAAGCTTTATAATCAGGCAAGTGAAACAATCATTGCTCTGTAAAAAGGTTAAAACAAACTGTTAAAGCAACTTGGATTGCTTGGGATTAAGACTGTTTTGTAAGTAATTATGCTTTTTGCCTTGAGACTGTATTTACGCATCATGGAAATTCCCAAGACTCTGCAGAATTCTGATGTTTAAGAACTTCACTATTGGTCACTTAACTAAGACAAAATTTGCTGAGCAATTTGTTGTTTTACTTCAGGTAGAAAATTTTTAATACCACACTAACAATGTTACGTGCCATTGGGCATGGTGGCACAGGTCTATAATGACAGCACTCGGGGAGGAGGAGGCAAGATGATGCTCGTTCAAGCCCTGGGCAACTTGTGAAACCCTGTTTCCACATTTAAAAGAAAAGAAGAATCATCATCATCATCATACATGAGCAGTTCTGAATGATCTGTCAATGTCTGACATTTTGTGAGCAACTTGAAGTGATTTGTTTTCCCTTTGCCTATTTTATAGCCTAACACTTTCACATGTTATTTGGATTTCTCACACCAACCCTCTCAGGTACTGTCCCCTTTTTATAAATGAAAACACATAGATCAGAGACTTAAATGACTTGATGAAGATCATTTAATCAGAAACTGAGAGCCAAGGAGAGCAACAGTGCCCTCTCCTTCTTGAATCTGCTTTCTACCATTACTGAAGCTGCTCATGAGGGATAGGTTTGTGTAACTGTCATGGTCAGGTGGGTCTTACTGATATATATAAGTAGAGGTCACAAAATACAGATTTTTTGTGTGAAATGGAAATATGCATTCATGTGCAAGTGGCATTTCAAGAAAAAAGACTCAATAAGCAACCTTAATAAAAGGAATAGATCAAATAGAAACATAATCTAGGTATGCTTTACTCATCTAGACTTATTTGGAGTAAGGTATTCTTGGTAAATGAAATCTTTTTTTTTTCCCCCCGAGACAGGGTCTCACTATATTTCAGGCTGCTCTTGAAGTTACTATGAAGCCCAGGCTGGCCTTTAACTTCTGGCAATCCTCCTGCCTCAGCCTCCTGAGTGCTGAGATTATAGGCGTGTGCCACCAAAACTTAATCCTTTAAACAGTGAACCTTTACTTTAAATTATTTATATTGGAAAAAATTATTTCCTTCAGAAATCTTTGTTGAACTCCCTTAGCAAACAGAATATAGGCTTTTATGAGCTTGAATTTATTTATTGTTGTGTAAGTGTAGACAGGGAAGGGTAAGATAAAGGTAAGTATTGTTAATTTCCAGTCATTGGACACCTCCCCAGATGAGATGTTGTGCAAACCTCTGAAATTATATACAGATTTTTATGATTTTTTTTAAAATGCTCTCTAAGAGGATCCAAAGCTTTAAACTCAGAGCATTCATGTTCTTTTCATTGGGAGTTAAATGGCTGCTGACTCACTCCTGTGGGCTTCATGAGAATGAGGGCTTAGTTTGTTTTTGTTTTTTTTTTTTACTAAATCTTCAATACTTACCAGTGTCTACTTCATTGTAGACGAGCAATATTTTAACCATAGTAAAGTTTTATTCAAAGTAGGAAAAGAAACAGGCTCTGCAGAGCCAGTTTGGGCTAAGTAAAAGTAGGAAAAGAAGTGCATCCTACAGCATGAGGTGGGCTGCCATGCAAGAGGAAACACAGTGGCCAAGCAGAGTTTTCTCCTGAAAGTACAATAAAGTAGATACAGTTTTCGTGACATTGTGTCTGACATTCTGTCAGATAATGATTAGGTCAAAAGAATGAAATGCTCTTTCTAGAATGTTTCTTCACACCTTCAGAAGCATGCCATTGCCCTAAACTCCATTGGTTTATTGGATTTTAAATGAATTTATTATTATTACCAACGCAGGGGACCATGAGCTGCCTGCTTGTTGGGTTTTGCCCACAGACTGGAGCATTAAAGTCAAGACATATCTTAGAAGTCATGTATTACAGTCCCCTGGTTTTTTTATAGAAGAGGTTAGTTATGGCCCAAGAATAGAAATGACTTGCTTAGGATCATAGAGATGCAAAGTCAGGACACAACCTGTATCTCCTGACTCCCATTCTTATTTTATTCTACCGTATCTTGCCCCATCATTGTTCTTTCTTTGTTCTTTCTCACCACCCTAAATGTGAACATGCCCATTTTAATTATTGCCATCTTGACTTTGCTTGTTACTCCTCTCTGGGTCTTGCCAACAGGTTTTTAATTGAGCACATATTGTGTGCCCTGTACACTGTGAAAGCTCTGAAGTGAATGAACTGTGCCACTTCCTTGGGCTGGTTTATTACAGTGAATAAACCAACTTGTGTAATACCTCTAGAGAGCCGATACTAAGCAGCAGTATATATTAAGTTCTAGGTTATAGAACAGATCATAAATGCTTCTGCAAGGTCCTGGAACTGCCACCTCCTATTGACACTATATATATGTCTTACCAGTTTCACAGTTGATAGCATTTCACTGGGAGCTTGAACTCTGCTCTGGTGACAGTTCTGGGCAAGCAGTATAAATAAATCAAGAGCCCTTCCCAAGAATCAGTACACTATTAGCTTCAAGAATTCAGAGGAAAGGGCCAGGGATTTAGCTCAGTGGTTCCACCGCCTGTGTCTTAAGCATAAAGTCCCAAGTTCAATCCCCAATACCAAAAAAAAATTTTTTTTTTCCAGAGTAAGGAAAAGTCCTGTAAAATTATCAACTAAAGGCTCCATGCTAGGATCAGTAAGTAGTCAGGAGAGAGTATGAGAAAGAAAGGACATAAGGAGAAAAGATCACCTTCGATTTTGATTAAGAGGTAGGAGGAGGTAAGGGGTGGCCTTATGAAAAGTTGAACTGCATGAATTTGGATTTTTTTTTCTTTTTGTTTTGGTACCGGGGGTTGAACCCAGACCTTGTTGAATTTGGATTTTTTGAAAAGCCTTCAAGCAGGACAAATGATAAAAAAAAAACCTTTGGAAAATTAGCAAGGCATCTGCATACAAGATGGTAAGCAACTACCTGTGAAGATGTTGCAGTGCTTCTATGTGTAAGGTGATAGGGGAAATAATAAAGAAATATGTCTAGGAAGTGTCTTAAAGAAATCACGTATGAATGTGGAGACAGTGGATAATTTAAGATAGTACTTAAAGACAAGTGCCTGAGTATGGAAGACTGCAGAAATGTTGCCCCATTGTCAGAAATAAGAAAGCTGGGAAATGAATCAGTACTACTACCAGTACTTTATGTTAGATTAGCAAAGAAGATACACTACTGTGCTGTGGGTAGCGTTGAGTTATAGCCGTATATGATGATGAGACCTCTTGGGAAGTCCTGAGAATACAGGAGAGGTAAAGAGAAGGGAGCCATTAGTGTGAAGCTGAGATTGAAACAGTGGAGGAGCCCTTTCAGAGGAGCACAGAACAGCAGCGGGGCGCAAACCTTTCAGGACTGACCTAGTAAAGTGACAAAATGACACTAAAGATGATAGCTAGATCATGGAGATTGCAGGTGAAGTAAGAGAATATAGCAAGTAATTGAGCAGGGTTGAGTCCTTGTAGCAGGATAAGATCAATAAAGTCAAATGGACACAAAGATAGGCAGAATAATGTGGCCTGGCGATAAGAATCAAACATATCTATGACAAAATATCAGGTCACTGCTGTCAGAGCAGTTTTAGTC